CAAATGTTTCAGTCATCTTTGAGATATTACTTGAGCACCGATAAATAAATAAAAAAGGATTTGATCAACAGGATTGTTATGTAGAAGTCCTTAAGTCCTTTCCTTGCTGTAAATTTGTGGTAGCTATGAAGTTGCACCAGGAAGCCTGGGCTTCTACTTTTGCATCCCCCAACAATTACTTTGTCTCGCAGCTCTTATTAGTGCTATCTGTGTAGGAAAAACATTATCACGTTTACTAAGGTTAGAAGCACTGAAGTGACATTGAAGGGCAAATAGGGATACTGCATGCCGTTTACAAAGGTTGATGTTAATGGACCGTGCAGAAAAAGTCTGTGTGCAGCATATTTGTTTCAAGGTCTATGTTCACACATGCAGGTAGGAATGCTTACAAGTGCAAGTATCAGTCTGCAAATGGCAGATTTACTGTAAGTTTATAAGAACCAACTGATACTACTTCAGGCAGGATTTAAGGTACACATGCTTGAACAAAGACTTTTGATTGGTTTAAAGCAGAACTCTGGGCACAAGTGTTCTTAACCATTAGTAGGGCTACCTTCACACTGCAAGGGTTAAGTGCTCATTTTTGGCTAGGTGCTAAAATAAAAAAGTTATACTCATTTGATCCTAGGAGCCAGCTTGCTGTTAGACTGGTCTCTAGAGCCTCTCTCCTTCTCGGCTGCAGCGGTCTAAGAATCCTTGAGTCAACACGTTCTATACACAGTGTGTAGCACATGAGACTGTTAAGGGACATTCCATCAGCAGAGGAGGAGACGGGCTTCTGGGACCAGAGTAAGAGACAGCCAGCTCCGCAGTTTGGGTGAGTATAACTTTTTTTTTAGCACCTAGACAAAAACAGAACTTAAGGAGAACTATGAGATGAGTGATTTCCACTCACCTCATAGTTCTAAGCCGACCTGTGACAATGAGACTGTCACAGGTCGGCTGTTGTAGCTCGCGGTATACTGAGCTTAGGGTAACGGGAGGCTGCTAGTTTGTGTCCTCCCGTTACCCCAAGGAGAACTATGGGGAAAAACACTGACCCCATAGTTCTCCTTTAACCCTTGCAGTGTGGGCGTAGCCCCACTGCAAGGGTTAAGAACACTTTTGCCTGGAGTTCTTCTTTAAAGAATCAGGTGAATAATTATTACTTTCGGCTTAGACATTGAAGTTAATTTGTAGACTAAATAACTGTTTCATCTACTGCATTCCTTTGTGTTTCTCCACAAAAAGGCCCAGCTTAGGCAAGTTTTCAATTTTATTTTTTTATCAAAGAAAAATGTGTACAAATTATTGGGAAAAAAAGTCACTTTATGATACAAGTATTATGTACAGAAAACCTAGATCAAGCAATACCTAGACACAAATCTTTAGTATCATTCTTCAGTTACATGCAATAATGTGCAAATCATTCCTTATAATCATTTTATAATTCATAGTTCAATGTTTTAATTGTATAAAATAAATCCCAGATTTGATTTTGTAAGCATTGTAAAGACGTTACTTACAGAACTCATTGGTTGGTGGATACTGTAAGTGGAATAGCATAAGGCCATAATGGGAATTAATATGTGTGAAATGCATTTACATGTATTTCAAGGAACAAAATGGATCCAGAGCACCTGAATTTTATCTCTTTTTTTTCACGTGATAGGTTTCTGCTTTACCTCGATAACGAATACAAACAGTGTCAGTCATTTTAAGGTCAATTTCTTCTTAAACAAACATCACTGCGACACTTTGGTAAAGGAGAATGACTTTCTGAATGACTGCTGTGCTGCGCAGACTGTGTAACATCATCATTTATATTAATTGTGTTGTTAAGATGTACATTTATCAGAAGGCTGACAAGTTATATAAACTGTATTTTTAGACCGAAACCAAAATGAAATATTTGTTAGGCCGAAATCGTAAATTACTTTTTTTTCCAACCTTTTTAAAATGTTTTACATTATTTTTTAATTATTTTATTTTTATTATTTGTTTTACTTTAGTAGGGGCTTTGGGTAAATATCAGGGGCTTAAAATAGAAAAAGAGATTGAGGACACAGAGTCCTTAATCTCCTTTTCTGTTGTGAGTGAACACAAAGCCTCCATACTGAGTGCTCCTGTCCATTCATAAACTGAGGAGATCGTATCAGTTACTATGCTCACTATCATGAACAGGAAGTGATGTGGAGCACTTTCTGTTCATTCATAACTGGGGACACAGAAAGCTTACTATGTCCTTGGGTATTTACAATCAGTGATCAATACTGATCACTGAGTGTTTGTACTCCGCTCTCCATCCTGACTGCTCCGCCTGTCGCAAGAGGCCGAGCTCTCCTCCCTGATCCTTTGGCTCTCTTCGGCCGCCGGAGCCCTTCAGTTCAGTCAAACCAAAGGGCTGCTGGACGGGCTATTCACTATCGACTGAGCTGGCCGAAGTGACAGCCGAATCGTGGCAAACGGCCTGCCGTAGGCCGGGCCTTTCGCCCCACAGATGACAGCTGGGCGGAGCCAGCCATGATCTCGCGGCTGCCTAGTTGTAAGGACAGATCAGCATTCCCAAATGACCTGGGGACGCTGAACTGTCATTAACCAATAGCAGCTGGCAGGAGCCAGTCGTGACATCACGGCCGGCTCCGCCCAGTTTTTCATTGGCCGGGAGTCTTCTAGCAGTTCCCGGCCAATGAACAACTGGGCGGAGCCGGCTACGGAGGTACCGAGCAGAATAGCCTAGCCACTTGGCAACATTCAGCTATTCACTCACTGCTGTTCAGCCCCTATGAGAATAGGGGGGAATGGCAGCGAGTGAGCTGCCAGAGCTTCGGCTCAGCTGATCCAGATGTTGGATTCAGATGTTGGATCGGCTAAGTCGAAGTCCTTCTGCACTTCGGCTCAGCCAAACATGCAGAGCAGAGACTGGCAGCTGTACAGTGCCGATGTACAGCTGATTTCAGCCGTTGTGCAGCTGAAATCAGCCGTACAAGCCAGAAGTGAATAGCCGAATGGTGTTCGGCTCACTTCACTTCGGCTCGGTTATTCACTCGGCTGCCTTCGGCAGCTTAGTGCATAACCCTGTCAGAATTAAATGTATGCACCATTTGACTTGATTCAAGCTGCATTCCCATAGATTTGTATGGGGGAGGAGTTCTGACACAACAACCCATAAACACAGACCCTTATGGTGTTGTTTTATTGTAAATACCGTGTTTGTCGCTCCATAAGACGCACTTTTTTCCCCCAAAAGGAGGGGGAAAAAGTGCCTGCGTCTTATGGAGCGAATCCCGACGCCCGAGACATGCAGTTTCGGGCGCCGGGCGAGTA